ATTTATCAACAATAACAAAGTAATACGGAAGGTAATCTCTTACCGGTTTTACTCTGGACCAAAAACAAATTACATACATTTATTTTATTGCGAAAATGTGAGGATAATAGTCATACTTTTACTAACCTGAAATCTAATAATATGCCGTATCCATATATGGATGTGAGATTAAGTACAGTAGAAAATACGTATGTAATGTGTAGTATATGTAGACCACGGAACAATATCAAGCGTGATAAACAGACATCAGGTTTATGTACCAATAGTGATTCTCGCTGTAAAACAGTTTTTATGTAGTTTCATTTTAAGATATTTCCAATAATTCTCACCAGGATTACCGTCTGAGATCGGCTGTACTTCTGGTATGTAAGTTTTCTTAACACATTACAATCATTTTGATATATGCTCATTCTATATCTCCCTCCCAGTTACAAAACCTTAAAAAGTCATTTCATTTCTCTTTCAATTATGTTAGTTAAAACTTTTTTATTGATGTATATTGCAATAAGAAATGATACTATCAATGAAGGGATTCAGAAACACGTACAAGTACTAATGTCAATCCGTCTCCTTATATCTATAGAATAGGCATGGAACAGTATTGACAATAATACATATAACTGGTGCTGAGAAAAGGGAAAGAAATGGTGTTAGAGGGAGGTGATGCTGGGGTATTTCTACATTACTGGAACAAGCGCTGATTGCGTGGCATTTGGGTTGCACATGTTGTGGAAAGTGGTACCCAATACAAATAATACTGAAGGTACAATTCTAAATTGATACAACGGAGCTATAGATAGGAGTTTTTAAATGACGCAATGTAAAGGACAATATCATATAGCTGTAGTAAATACCACGACATTGAATAGTATTTCAATCTTAAAGTTGGGTTGACTGATAGTTTTGTACAAAATCAAAAATAGTTTTATTATACTGGACTTGTATGTAAGAAATACCATGTAGTAACGTATTAACATTATACTGGACTTGTATGTCAGAAATACCATGTAGTAACGTATTAACATTATACTGGACTTGTATGTCAGAAATACCATGTAGTAAAGTATTAACATTATACTGGACTTGTATGTCAGAAATACCATGTGGTAACGTATTAACATTATACTGGACTTGTATGTCAGAAATACCATGTAGTAACGTATTAACATTATACTGGACTTGTATGTCAGAAATACCATGTAGTAACGTATTAACATTATAGTGGACTTGTATGTCAGAAATACCATGTAGTAAAGTATTAACATTATACTGGACTTGTATGTCAGAAATACCATGTAGTAAAGTATTAACATTATACTGGACTTGTATGTCAGAAATACCATGTGGTAACGTGTTAACATTATACTGGACTTGTATTTCAGAAATACCATGTGGTAACGTGTTAACATTATACTGGACTTGTATGTCAGAAATACCATGTAGTAACGTATTAACATTATACTGGACTTGTATGTCAGAAATACCATGTAGTAACGTATTAACATTATACTGGACTTGTATGTCAGAAATACCATGTAGTAACGTATTAACATTTTACTGGACTTATATGTCAGAAATACCATGTAGTAACGTATTAACATTATACTGGACTTGTATGTCAGAAATACCATGTAGTAACGTATTAACATTATACTGGACTTGTATGTCAGAAATACCATGTAGTAACGTATTAACATTATACTGGACTTGTATGTCAGAAATACCATGTGGTAACGTATTAACATTATACTGGACTTGTATGTCAGAAATACCATGTAGTAAAGTATTAACATTATACTGGACTTGTATGTCAGAAATACCATGTAGTAACGTATTAACATTATACTGGACTTGTATGTCAGAAATACCATGTAGTAACGTATTAACATTATACTGGACTTGTATGTCAGAAATACCATGTAGTAACGTATTAACATTATACTGGACTTGTATGTCAGAAATACCATGTAGTAACGTATTAACATTTTAGGTAGGAGGAAGATCTCTAAAATATTCATTTCGTGCCTGCTGGTAGTTAGGACAATGGAGGAGGAAATGTTAGGAAAATTCAGCAGACCGATTTCATGAATACATAGGCCTGTCAGGTAAGTTTCGTGAGTACAGGTAACTGTTTAAGGAGCTGCAGTTCATCCTCAGTCACGCATGATGGATCTGATTGTGTCTGCTTCTGCAATAGTAATAATGTGAAGGAATGATAGGAGTATCGGCATTTAAGGACTGTTTAAGGTTAATAATTAGCGGATTGTATTTTATATCATCGAGAAGTGCGTTCCATAAGTCAACAGAAGGAGTCATATAAAGTTTATAAAGGCTAGATCGACAATTCACTTCACAAGACTTGTTAGCTCTTCTGGTGTTGGGGTTATTTTTTACCATTCTTTACCACTGATATTATTAGAGTAAATTTTTGATTCGGGTATAAAAATCTTGTTCATGTGATTGGTGGAAGGGGAGGTAATAGTGTAAGGAAGGTAGGGTGTGGTAGGATAGGAGAAGGGTAAGGTAAAACAGGGAAATAAGATGATGGATATTATATCCAAGGAGAAGGAGTTTATAGGTACATAAGTAAAAAACTTGTATATATTAAAATTTTAGATAAAACCTGCTTACGTGATTACGCATATACTACAAAAGGAGGTGAATTAGGGTTTCAATTGTTCGAATGAAGCGAACAATAATCAACACACACACACACACACACACACCACACACACACACACCCACACACACACACACACATTAAAAAAACATATGAATGTATAGCCATAAGATAAATCAAACTTGTAAAAAGAATATATAGGCTAGTATTTTACCAGGTTTACATATATACACACTCGATCATAAATCAGATGTGAAACTACAATGTATTCGCTTTAGTTAATTCGGTTATATTAACAAGGAATGTTGTGTATCTTGGTTTAACATATACCCTGTGCTTGAGTAAGTACGTTGCTATATCTGTATTGTAAACTAGGAACACAAGATTATATTATAAGTCGAACACTAAGGAGGGTCTTATAAGGTCCAGTTAGTGACAGATTCATTGTATAATGGAAATGAACACCCATCACCGTCGAGATACAAGCCCAGCGACACCTTACTCTGACTACGTGTTGTCACGTGACCATAGCGCTCAAGTCCAAATTCCTGCCGGATTTAGTGAATTCTAGACGTTTTGTCCTTGATCATAATTTGACCGTTGGTAGTCCATTTTTGGGAGATAGGGTTAAATTTGGTAAAAGGTTGCTGCATAGAAAGCTTAGTGACCACGATATTTGGTGAGATTCTCGTTGACAGAAATACCTTTAAATTGATCTTTGGTACGAACACTCGGCTGGACTTTAGCAGTGTAAACTTGGCATCAACATAGCTCTGACGTACAATAATCTGGAGTGGTTTACCTCTGCACTGATCAGGTTTGCCGACTGGATGAGACGGTTCCCGAGTCTGGGGCCTCGGGGTCTCGGCCTCCATTCTGGTAACCTTTTATACTAAAGCTGTAGATTGTGCTGGGTAGTCTGTATGTCGTTGAGTACGTAGATACAGACCGCCATAGCGATCCTCTGGATATCAAAATCCGACCATGCCGCACCCCCGGGTTCGGGAGCGGGTTGAAAGCTTAGGTATATTGATGACGTCAGGTCTTTAAATATCAAAAGATGTGTTTATCACATCTATCGCATATATCCACCAGAATTGGAAATCAAGGACACGGCAGACTCTACATCAACCGGTTATCTTGGTATTTTCACAGACATACAGAACAACACAGGATTTTTTTTAATTACATTTGTATTCTCAATGACTTTTTAAGAAAAAAGTAAAACCTTTCCTCGGAAATCTAATTCACCTGAAGCAAAACGTATGAAAAGTTGCCACGTAAAGAAAATAATATGGAAGTCTTACATAGAAATTGTAGTGATATTCACAGTTTGTGGGGTATCTGTTAGAGCTTGTCAGTTTGTTGACGACGAGAGCCATATCTCTTCTGATTCCATCGAAGGAGCCTGCTGACTATTTTCCCCATCGCCTCAATATCAGGGTATCCATTAGGGGCCTCGTCATCGATAACACTCGAGTCCAATCTGCTGTAAGCTCTAAGCTTCTACAAAAAAAGTTCGGTGAACGTATTCTTTTATAATTATGAAATAGTTAATGAACCAATGTAAACGCATCCTTGGTCTTTCTTGTAACAATTTCTAATTTCTAATAATTCTAACTTAAATGTTCATTTTCTATTTTCTTTTATCATAAACTCATATCACTTTCATTTTGGCATTTTTTTTTAATTTGTGCAAATTTTTGTAGTTTTAGCAAATATTTGATGAAAAATAGCAACAACAAAAAATCTTTGAATAAAGTAATGAAAAGTTATCATTAATTTTGAAATAATAATTATTATTATCGAATTCCTCGAAAATTACAACGTTAAAGTATCAAATTGCCTTACATTGTTGTCCTTTATTAGTATGACTCTGTCTTCAGACAGAGATCCGAGGAAGGTTTTACGCTTATGGAGGAAGTCAAGATGTTCTGCCAGGTCACTCACTAACTTATATATATGTTTCACATTGGGTTTTTCATCTTTCATGTAGTCCTTAAGGGTCACGTGACACGGTAAGTGAGCACCAATAATAAACCGGTCACTATTGCAAATATCATTCCATTTTGACTCTGGCGTTGAAATTGCTGTAAAATAAAATAATCAAATTAATTATAACAAACTGCGTTTGAAAGGTAAAACAAAGCATTATTCTGCTTTAAAATACCATGCATCATTGTAATTTGCGCGTAACAGATGCATTCCAAGTGGAGTTCAACAACTTCCGGATGTAAGTTTAAATTATGGTAATTGCAAATAACGTGATAATGTTTTTTGTAGTTTGAGTATCTTAGTGTATCAACGTGTTCCTCTTTATTATTATCAAATGATCTGCCAAAACAAACATACAAAATACATGTGAACAAAGGATACTGTTTTAGAGCGCATGTATTTTCCTTTTTGAAACTATCGTGTTCAAGTTTTTTTTACTTCGTGTATGTTTTTATTCTAACTGGCCCCTATAATTACTGTGCCTGTATTACACCAAAAAGCCATTTCCCTTATGTATAAATTTACGGAAAGTCAATAAACTTTAATTATTTTATTTTCAATGAGACTGACGTGACTCTCAGAAACATCAAGAAAACATGTCAACATAATCATAATCCAAACTCAAACTCCATAACACTAGGGCGCAATATGAACAAAATAAAGACTTACAAGGAAATCCCTGAGAAAGTACAAGGAGAACAAGACCATGTGTTCTGAAGAGTAAGCGTTTTCTGCTTCATCGCCGACACCCGCCTTGTAAACCTTGGCCACTCAAGGTATATGACAACGGAATCAACAGGCAAATTAACGATAATCAAACACGTTCATATCGCACAAAGAAATGGAATATTTCTCAATGAGATCACTATGGCAACTATAAAACTTCTCCATGATTTTCACCAACATGCATCTTTTGAAACCTGTGTCACCAGTTTGTCCATCAGTTTGTATGCGTATAGTGTTTCCATTTGCCACATTGACTACGAGTGACAACTAAATGTCGATTGATGTTTAAATATTGACAAGGACCAACAACTACTATCATATCAACACATCGACACCTCCGACACTCCGTAAATGTACCAATAAGTCGAGAAGATAAACTCACATGTCGAAAGTCGAGACAGGGTTGTCTTGGTGCTCGCACGATTAAGTCTGTCTTTCTGAAAAGAAAGAAAAAAAATATAAAAAAAAATAGATATATAGTAACTATGTAAAACTCTAAGAAATGGAAACTAAATGAGAAATAGGGACTACATGAAACTTCTAAAAAGGAAAGAACTTTTTGTTCTTAGATAACTTGTTATTAGAACTACCATGCACGGCGCGTGAAGGCATACCTTCCTTCTTATAATAGCTGAGAACGTATAAAGGATAGGATTCAATGCTGAATTGATTGGTAAAATGAACACAGCTGCCCAAGCGTACACCTCAGGTGGGATGTGATGTCCAGATAACGCCATGATACCTGTAAAAAGTTGTAGTCAATACAATTTTATAATTCGAATTAGTAAGGTAACGAACGTTTTCATCAAAATATGAATCAATCATCATCATCATAGCATAACTTTCATAAATGGAAGTAAAACCCATTATATCATCTTTACGTCATCAGTTTCTTCATTGAAAGATTTACTTTTTCTTACGTACCCATTATTCCAAGAGGAAACCAACACAAGAAATCTGAGAAAACCACAAGAAAGAGACTTCTTGCTATGGCCGCGTCCTGAGAACGTCGCTGGGATTTAATCATTTCGTTTGTGCTCGATACCTCCTGGTAGATCAATATCTGCCCAACAGCTATGCAGATGAAGACGACGAAGTTCATGAAAATAAAAATTGCGGTTCCATATTCCCATCCGGCTGGCCATTCCCGGGTAAGAGGCAAACCCAAACAAACAACAGACCTGGAATAAAACTGACCTTTGAAATAGTTGATTGGAAGTAACGGGATCACTGCAATAGACCACGTGATCATCCAAACTGCCATACAGGTAAGAATGGCCTTCTTCCTGGTGAATTGGACTTGTCCGAACACAAATTTTACAGAAACGAAACGGTCTATAGTTATCAGCAACAAAAACAAAACGGAAGACTCACTAGACACCGTTGCTAGGACACCAGCCATTTTACAGATATTGCTGTTACGCCAGTACAAGTCATTCCATATATACCTGCCACGAAACATGGTATCAGCGATGGCAATAATTAACATATATATACCCATACAAAAGTCAGCACATCCAAGATTCAAAATAAAAATTCCATGACCTTTTCTTAAACTGATACGATCATATATAAGTTTGTATATGATCACGCATGCGTTACCGACCAACGACATACATCCTATGATCCACAAGAAAGACCGAAGGTGGTCTTCTCGCATCAAGTCAGCACAAGATGAAAATTCGTCTTGGTAGGGATGGCAGTTTTCTTCTGTGACACTGCTTGGCTTTACACAACAAAACATGTAGGCGTCTGTATACAATTCTTTTAAATTACTTAGTCCATTGAAAATACCATCAGAAAAGTCAAGAATATTGTTGCCGCGAATATCAAGTACAGCGAGTTTCTTAAGTGAGGCAAACGCGAAATTGTCTACTTTTCTTATTCTGTTTTGAGTCAAATTAAGGACTGTTATCTTATCCAACCCAACAAAAGTCCTGCTCTCTATCTTTGAGATCAATGTATTATCTATAGTCAACGCTGGTAAAGCTGCCAATCCATTGAAGGCGTTTGGATGAATCGACAACAACCCTGCGTTACCCTGGAGGTGAAGTGTTCGAAGATTCTTAAGACTGTGGAATGTCTCAGCAACAAGGCTTGTCAGTGCATTGTAACTTAGATCTAAAGTGTAGATATTGCTGAGATTTGCGAAATTTTCACCTGTTAGGTATTTGATCGAATTTCTTGACAGATTTAACTCTGCTAATACAAATGTTTTCAATTTTGGAATCCCTTTTGAAAAATCAGATCCGTTGAATGAGAGTTTCCGTACGTTTGAGAACACCATAAACGTGTCGTTTGGTGCCGCCTTAATATCAGTACATTCAGCGGTCAGTTCGTTACATACACAGCCAGACGGGCACTGGACATCGCACAAATCCTCATCGTCGCCCTCTGGACATTGAGGTATCCCGTCACACACTTGCACCTGGCCAAGGCAAATGTTACTGTTGTGACACCGGCATAGGCCTGCACACGTTCTATCTACAAAAACACACGCTGTTAATATATGCACATGTGAATGAGCAAAATAACGGAACGGACCTGACATAAATCAGTAAGTTTTTATTTACTTAAGTTCTATGATCTCGTATATCGGGATTTTTTTTGGCGAGTTCAACGACCATTTCTAAATCGCAAAAATAAATCGCCACGTTTCCTTTTCTATTGTAAATGCATTAACAATACATATGTAGGCTTACTTACATAGAACTGAACATTTTCTAGTCATGAATTCTATGACAAATAAATCTCGTATCTTAGTGTGACTGCTCTGTTAGATCTCCAGTTGAAGTTAGAACCTACACTGGTATATAATTCTACGGGTAAGTTATGTCCATTCTGAGGTATCCAAATACTTCAAGAGAGACCTTTCAAATTTTTGAGACGAAGAACTCCAAAAAATGAAATACGCAAAAATTGCAAAGGGTTACATTTTGGAGATTTTCGCAAGTATATATTGATTTACAGTATTCAATACATTTGTACATACATCACGGTATCAACTTATATGATTTACACTACATTTCAGAGCTTTTCATTTTATTCATGATATCAAATAATGAGCAAACCAATAACTTACCACACATTTCTTCGTCCTCTCCATAAGAACAATGTTTTTCGCCGTCGCAAAGAAATCGAACATGGATACAATAGCTATTCCTACATTTAGCAAAGTCTTCTGGACATACGAAGTCCGCTGCAAATGAAACAAACATTCGGTAAGAGAATAAGAAATCCACTGAAAATAAATTATAAATTAAGATACAAGTAGTTTAAACAATGTCAAATTTATTTATGGTTGGCTTTTTAGCACAGCCAAATTCATGTTTTAATTCATTTAATATTTATATTCGTGATTGCCTTTTTGGACAGTGCATGCATGTTTACGTATAACAGTAAACCAGACAATAGACGTTATTGACTAGTTACTTACAACAGTGATCTAAGTGTGACAGATCTCTGCATCCTTTTATTTCACCGTATTCGTCATAGTCCATTAAGCAGTACTCCGATTTATCCACAGAGATACCACTTCTGCACAGAAACCTCATAGACTCATTGACGTCATCTGGAAAAATGTGACACTCGCATAATTAATTTACCTGCATGGCAGATGGAAACAAATGGAGAAATCACAGGCAACCATTGGTTATTATCATCTTTTGCAGAAGTCGCCAAATACATAAAATGAAGTTAGAATTTAGTTATCACATGGTGTCTTCATCATGAAGTTATTATTTGCCGGGTACTTTTACTATAAGTCAATATACATTGAATATCGTACAAAAGACACACAGGTGAATAGCGCCTTTTAATACAAATCTAAGGTTGGAGACAGCAGAGCTATACAATGAATTAAACTGAATCATACGGCTGTTTGTATAAACATACAATGAATTAAACTGAATCATACAGCTGTTTGTATAAACATACAATGAATTAAACTGAATCATACAGCTGTTTGTATTAACATACAATGAATTAAACTGAATCATACAGCTGTTTGTATTAACATACAATGAATTAAACTGAATCATACGGCTGTTTATTTTAACAGATAATGAATTTTTTAAAGTATAATATATAATGAAAATAAACTGATCAGTGTTAAAACGATGGACTTTTGTAATATACAATCAAACGCTGTATCAGTTTTACTACGACACTCTGAATATCTTATGAAAAACTTCCTTATAAATTCCATACTTACCATTTTCGCACACTAAAGGATCGACTTTGAATGCTAGGTAGCTATTTTTGCCCCCAGATAACCCTGCATACAAGCCTGTTATAGGCAAGTCATCGTGTACCGCTATATTGCCTTCGTCCTCAAACACACTGTTGACATCCACCACGTACCATTCGTCAAAACCAGTGGTACAATTACATCTGAGGGGTAGGCATGAAATAAAAACATAACCCACATCAAAATGAACGTACTTCATTTCCCCCGTCCTATGTTAACTTTTACATAAGGTTTCAAATTTGCTACAACCTCCACAGTTCAAAAGATATGTACATACTGGTTATTTTCATTCCTTTTTCAAAGATATGGATAAACTCTCTATTTTCGTTCTTTTTTCGAGGGACAACAACATCTATCTTTACAAATATATTATAGAAATAACTCACTAGATTAACCTGTACACTGATATAGATGATTCTCATCGTGTTCATAAAAACCCGTTAGAATAATATGTCCATTTAAACAAAATGTCGAAACCGATGAATTTTTTGGTTATTTTTTATTTAACCTGGCTTTGCATACTTTAACCGAATATATTGAAATACCATTACTAAATAATAGATGAAGTTAACAGGAGAGAAAGAAGAATTGCACCTGTCCACATTTGTGTCGCACTTTTGAAACAGAGGACAGGAACATGTGCCGTTCAATATTCCTTCGGTATCGGAATCATGCCAAACACCATTACCACCCTGCCATTGGTAGGTCACTTTAGGGGTCATATGACATTTTGCCGTAATTTTCTGCGAACATCTGTATTTGCTTTTTAAAATGTCAATATACAACATGGGAATTCTGTACCCGATGGTGTCGTAGATATTGTTAACTTCCTCAATACGCCATTCCTCATGATCATGGTGAACTAATGTCTTCACGGACGTCTTGTCGCCTGACGTTGAAAACATACACTCTACTTTGACTGGTGCTGTAATGACAAGCAAGAGATTCGATTTGTACGAATCGCTCATCTGCTCGGCACCTTATAGGAGACGATGGTGACTTTCATCTTCATCCAAAATATTATGTGCACTCTCTACGGTTATGGTGTGTGGAGGGGATTGCAAAACTCTTTGTATCTTTATTTTCAAAATAAAAGATATTAGCAGTATATTAAATATTAAATAGAGAAATAGAAGCAACCACACGAAAAACATAAAATTATATAGATAAAAAAACTGAAAACGTTGCATTACATGTTCTTATTGGATATCAAAGGTAAATTTTAGAACAAAAGAAATGGATTTATCAGACCCTGTTGAATATTCATACTATCTGTTCCTAAAGTGACAAGGTACTCTCCGTCCTCTGCAATTCCTAAACTCAAAAGATCATTGCATGACGACTGCTGTTGTCTTTGACACTGCTGACTTTCGTCCTCTGAAAACCGTCCTCCACAATCAATATTTCCATCACATTGCCGAGTCCCACGAATACATGTTTGATCATAACACAGGAAATTTCCAGCTCTACACGTATCTGAAATGACAAAATGAGAGGATAATATATACTTTCTTCAAAATTCAAACAAAAGTGATATTTGTTTTACACAGGTATATCCCAAAATGAGACATCTGTTTTAAACGGATATTCTTTTTCATTCTAATATTAAACTTGTTGTATAGGAAGACCACTAACGAAAGGAAAGCAAAGTCACAGGTATGGTCTCTACATATATTTAATATATATACAAAAATACATATATATATGTTTTTATTAAATTGCAATTAGTCGGGTAGCTGTTATCTTATCACTTACCCCTGAAATTCGAAACAATTAAAACAAACAAAAAATCCTCCTCTTAGATTGGAAATACATCAAGAAAATTCCAATATAACAACATAATCATAGTCCAAACTATGGGATGGGGTAGATGATTGGATAAATGTATTTCACCTAACGCCTTTTCATCATTTTTGTTTTCGATTTTGATTTCCAATTATTTTACTTTAAAATGGTTGAGTTGACGACGTTCAGTGATTAAACTTGACTTTTAAGTGAAGGGCTGTATTTTTATTAAAAGCAACCTACAACAAAATTATCTAACAAGCCATTCATTCCTTTTCCTTCAAAACAACAAAGAATGTATGCATACCGCACAAATCTCTGTCCTCATCCGAACCGTCCTCGCAATCCTGCTTCAGGTCACATACCATCCTTTCATGTATACAGCGGCCGCTTTTACAGCGAAATTCACCTTCTTCACACTCACGATGTACTGAACATAGAACAACAAGCCATTAACCATTGATCAATACATTAATAAATGAGACATATTATTAGGTACCAACGCATTTATATGTCATTTCACTTTAATTACACTTTGCTCCCGATGGAGCTGTTGATATGAAACAAAAAACACAAATGATTAATACAAACTTTACATCTGCACTACTTCATTTATATATTGCTACAGTGGGAATACAATTCTCATTAATGAAACCTGTTCAACTTCACTTCTTACCACAAGCTATTTCGTCGGAATTGTCCTGGCAATGAGAAATGAAGTCACAGAACAGGCTGAGAGAGATACACTTTCCATCATTACACTGGAACTGGTGTGATGCACAAGTCGCATTAACTACAGCTTGAATAGAAACCAAAAATCGGTAAATACAACAATCGGTAATCACAACAATCGGTAATCGGTAATCACAACAATCGATAATCACAACAACCGGTAATCACAACAATCGGTAATCGGTAATCACAACAATCGGTAATCACAACAATCGGTAATCACAACAACCGGTAATCGGTAATCACAACAATCGGTAATCACAACAATCGGTAATCGGTAATCACAACAATCGATAATCGGTAATCACAACAATCGGTAATCACAACAATCGGTAATCGGTAATCACAACAATCGGTAATCACAACAATCGGTAATCGGTAATCACAACAACCGGTAATCGGTAATCACAACAATCGGTAATCACAACAATCGGTATTCGGTAATCACAACAATCGGTAATCACAACAATCGGTAATCACAACAATCGTTACTCGGTAATCACAACAATCGATAATCACAACAACCGGTAATCACAACAATCGATAATCACAACAACCGGTAATCGGTAATCACAACAATCGGTAAACCTATCGACACCGTTTGATTATGTTTCATTATCAAGCTTTTTGCGATCGTACGTCATAAAAAGTATGATTTAGAAAAGAAATAGAGTAATTAATACAAACAGTAAGTGACATTTTGATTTCAGAACATCGAAAGTATAACTGTCTTCCTACCATGTGATCAATTACAACTGAAATGTTACCACTAAAGTTAGTACTTACTACACCCATTCTCGTCACTGGCATCACGACAGTCTCCTGTACCGTCACATACAAATTGACGTGAAATTATCTCCCCGTTGTTGCAAGGAAACATAGAACTTGTAGCGTTTATAACGGAGATTATCACCGGTGAAATGTCCTGACTTTCATTTTCTATAACAAAATTGTATAATATATCAAAGTACTTAAAAACACTGAAACAATATCAGAAAAGATATAGTTACCACGGCGACATTTTTTTTTCATTTGACAAAAAATTAAATGAGTGATTCCACTACCTTATACAATATTGTTCACAAACTATATACGTTAAGGGTGATTCAGGTATAGTGGATAACACACTCGACTATCATTATGGCGACCAAAGTTCGAATCATTGTCTTCATTTTTTTCAAAATTAACATCGTGAATCACAACCTAGTCTTATGGTACATTCTTGGACTGGGTTCCTTTCAAGGAAACACTCCTGGTAATAACGAGGAACAGTACTGTAGCACAATAATTGTGAAGTAAGTAACGTATATAAAAGAAAACATGTAGAGTAGGATGAAAGTGGATATCCTGTTTCTTTACACAAAGCCAGTATGCTACATTTTAACACGCTATATTACCATTCGTATCTACGAAAGTTCCCATCTCACAAATGTAGCTAGGGATGCGATCGTAAGCACAGGCGATATCGTGCCAGTTGTCCAGAGAATGAATGCTAAAAAGTCGGATGGCGGTACATCGCTCATTTGCAAGGCCATCTGGTTGTGAGGTAGATGTTCTAGGATCTTTAAACCTGTCAATAAAGTAGCTGTTATGAATTAAAAGATTTAAAGAATTTCAATTTAAATAATTGATTTTAAAAGATCTCCCGGGACATTATGTCTTTGAATACGAACGCTTGCGTTGATATATTGAATTCCTATCAATGAGAGCCTGCAACAGTCCTACGTTATCATGGTGTATTAGAAGACTAACTGCATCTTTGCTAAATCTTATTATTTAAAGTACATACCAAGCTGTGTATGTTAACGGTGTTCCGTCAAGCCATTCATAATGTACATCATCGCCATCGAATGTTTTGTGGAGACCTGTCAAAGAAAAGGAAGAAATAAAGCAAGTTGCAAAAGAATTCGTAAAAGTTTTCGGAAATGTGTAGACAATTGTTTTAGGAATACGAATGATAATTTTACCTATATAAGCCTCTCCATTGTCAACTCCGCCCCAGACTTTGGTCATTAAGTAGTGGATAAATGTCATTTCTTGTATGGAACCTATGCTGACGAGATGGCCACCCTTTAATTCACACTGGTCTCGACTCTGTACCCACGACACACCATGCAAGGTTGTATGATTGCTGGTCTCCGTGAAGAGGTTGTAACAACTTCCTCCCATCCTTTTCCATTCTGGGAAGCAGCCTAAAGTGATGTTTATTGTAAGGTATTTATACATTGGTGAGTCATTGTAAAAATAATAACAAATAACCGTCCTCTACTTTATTTTATTAATTGCCCCGACACCTGAACTGAGACTGCATAGCTATATCACAATTTATGGGTCATGCGACGTTTTCATCGGGCAGAAATCATTTCAACGTCAGCTGCTCATCTCAATCTTGTCCTACAAAAAAACCAAAATAGACAGCTTTCCACCAAACTATATGATAAGCGAGATGATTTCAATTACCCAATTGTGGATTTTCCATTTCTGGATAGCAATATACCTACACCCCAACCTAAGGTGGTGACATGTCACAATTGATTCTATACATCTTGTTCCCATTATCACGATTTTCGTGCATTAAATCGTCCACTGACGGACACAGGGTTTCAAAAGATGCACGTTAATAAAAATCATGGGGAAGTTTTACGGTCGTCATAGTGATCTCACGGAGAAACATTTATTTTTTGTGAGATGTGGAGCTGGATGTGCTTCATACTTGATACGTGGTTCCATTGTTGTATACTCGTTTGAGAACGTGACTCTACTTACTTGGATTGATTGGAGGTGTCGTCGATAAATCAGAAGACGTTAACACTTCCGAAACACCTGTTGTTTGGTGGAGTTTTTGTTCTCCTTGTACTTTTTTCAGGAGTCTATTTTGTAAATCTTTCTTTGGGTCATATTTTGCGTTATTTTTATTGAATTTGAGTTTGGATTATGATTGTATTGACATGTTGGTATTTTCTTGCCGATTTTATCGTATTATTATACATTATATTGACATTTCCTTCGGTCACTTTATATTTTCCTTAGTCGACTCCTCAGCTTCAAAATTTAGTATCTTAGCTTGATTGATGACTCCTAGAAGGACGAAACAGCTGTTTGCTGCATTTTTATAAATCGTTTAGCTCTTCTGTATCAAATTCTAAATTGGTATTGAAATGTGCTATTCACTTGCTATTTCCGAAATATTCCCTCGGGTTGGTAATATTATTATGATATAAGTTCTTACAACAGAAGTTTAAACGTGTGACGTTTCGATGACAACGTTAGTGCTAATTCGCTTCACGCTCGCCATTTGAATGATGAAGTTGAATATTGACAAAGAAACTATTGTAGTGATATTGTGTGTCTTTTAGAAGTCTCCGACACCTTTACACATTACCTTCTTCTGTTATTTTTATTGCCGTCTGAGCTGAATCGACCAATTCATATTTCCCAAAGAAACCCTTGCCACTGCCGTCACCAGCTCGAAACTCGACTTGCATGGTGTGCCAGCTAGATACAATCGTGTTGTATTGGCGATCAACAGAACACATTTTGGATATGAGGGATAATTCACCATCAAGCGCTACGTCGTACATGGCTATGAATGACTTCACACATGATCGATCGCTGTCATAAATGTCTAGGTTGAGTATATGTAAACGGACGTATGTTCCAAACGTTCCTTGGATGGTCCAGCTGCATGTGTCCGCCATGGATATGTCGGCCGGAAATCCAGGTGTACCTATATATGCCGACTGTAGCGTACACGTGGTTATACACTGGCCTGATTCAAGTCCACATCCGGGCACGTCTTAGGAAAAAGAATGGTAAGCAATCACGCTGCGGTTATACAAATAACCATATTCATGTTGTTATGCAAGAAAAACCAAAAACCACATGTTACAGTGTCTATAACACATAAAGAGGTATGTTGATGAAGGTCACTTTTCTTATATCTGTATAATGTACAACTACATGCAATTTTCCATCGAACTTTTTACCGTTCGTTTAATTAGCATTTGATACTAAGAGTTAAATGTCAGAATTCGGAGCTGTTTCAAGTTTTATAACACCTGCAGACAAATATTTATTAATACTGAATTCAAATGGCTTCCCTCTGAAAGTTCTTAATCGAATTTTCCCGTAAGCTTTACAATGCAATACTCTCAGCGGTGGATGGCGCTTCTTATTTTCAATAGTTGTTAAATTAATTGAACTCGCTGACTGGATAATCAAACAAACGTTTATGTAAAGAATTCATCCATCAAGACATTCTATTTGCTTTTATAAATATAAATGGTCAGTAAGGAAGTTTGAATTTAGCTGAAATATATTTTTCTATGTCATCAGAATTCAGTATAAACTGATAGCTTGAACAGTAACATTTATGCCGTCAAGGGACGTCACGTGATATACATCAATAATAGAATTTATGTGAATGAAACAAGAGAGTTTCTCAAATCGGTATAAGGATCCATGATTTTTTATTGATAAGAGCTGTCTTATATATATCACTTACATATCTCGTGATTGTCTTGTTATTCAGTGAATGTACCCATGTAATGATTTGTTCCCATTACGCACGTGTACTATAATCTATTGTGACGTCAGGTTCGATAATGAAACGTGTTACTCACATATTACGGTAACAATAGAGACTATGGACATAAAGCCGAAATTACTTCAATATTTTGATAATACATTTGCCTGAATAATCGATCGTGTGTTAAAAGGATTTTAAGTTCGTTTTCATTAAATCTGTTTTTTTTCAATTAAACAAATATTTTAACTTCCAAAAGTAGTTTCATAGATCATATATCAAATCAAAATGACTACATGCGTGCGTGCGTGTGTGTGTGTGTGTGTGTGTGTGTGTGTGATCAATGAGGTATTAGCGACAAACGAATTGTTCTATTGCAAAGCGAAATCACATACATTGTATATATATTGTACATAACAGTCTTACCACTTTCTTCCACAGCGAATTCAAAACTGCGCTCTGAAGACTTTGAATACAAGAAACAGGACTGGAGCTCGACGTATAAAATTGGAAAGGATGATATTATTATAGATTTCTGAAACTGTTCCACAGTCGCAGTCTTGGTTCCGTGTGATATGCTTATATGTTCCTCTGGCGTTCTGTATATCTTAATCTCATCACTACACACAACAACGTTCTCGGTAGTGTCTCCGGCCTGCCAAATAAAAACGTTGCCAGGAAAAGCTAATAAAGAAGATAACATGTGCTACTTTACCTCCCTGACTTCATTCACTTGGTTGTTTAAAAGTTTCAAATGATCTGCTCCTATTTAGGATAAAAACATTTCACCCGTGACAATATGTTTTATGAAGAAGCAACCAGGCAGATGGTAATATTTGAAATGGTATACATAATTAATACACAGAACGGAACAGAACTGTCTCGCTGCCTATGCAATAGTACGTTTTATCTATTTTACAAGTGTTTACCTTGAGGATATCATTCCACTTTACTTTACTTCCTAAAGCAATAAATATTGCCTCCAGTTTGACAAACTTTCCTGGACGTGCAACTATTTTCCAAACGCAGTGAACGTGTTGACCGTAACTCAGGGGAAATGAAGGAGAACGGAGGTGTCGCACGTCCTTTCCAGGAAACAAAAGTATATCGCCGCCACATTTGGACATATCCGTTATACCTGTTTGATAAAGTAACTTTATGTGGATAAACATCGCAGATTTTCTACCACTTAAGTATATAATTACACCACAGACTTAACATGATATTCTATCTATGTAGACAGGTATGGGAAACACCATATGGCCCCGTTACTCATATACTGGTTGGGCATGGAAATACGAGCAAATGCTAACAAAACGTTACAAATATATATATACAATTAGTCAACATTTATTTTATGACATTTACGTCATTTTGTCGGTTCAACATTCACTAAAAATAGTGTTATATGCTCTGTAGCGTCTTTCACTGGCACCGTCATGACGATATGTTACGGATTGAAAATGGGGCAACAAAATGGATACATCCGTTTACTATTTCCCATCACATTTAAGTTTTAAACTGTCAAAATATGTTTTCTTAGTAATTTGATAAACGTTATCCCAATTTTTTTAATAGATCGCAAAATAACACTTCTCAAGACTCGTTTCGTAAAATCGTGTACAAAAATAGAGCTTATTTAAGATCCTACATTATACATATGAAATTGAAAGGCGTTATCAGAATAATATTCTTTAAGAAATTGTTTTTGTTTATATTGGTTTAAAGACATCGCAACAACCAGGATCACAATACAACGGGGTCAAGAAAAACGCCAAGAGTGAAAGTAAGAACAAGACAGTTGATAGTCAACTAGCTGATGTTATAATAAGATGAAAATTACAAAATAATGACCAGTAATATAGAAGTTGACCTTGAGCATAGTACCATGAATATCGACAATATCTGATAAAATGAAAATGATAAAATTTTAATAAAAAGTTTTTTCATGATTCAATCATATGAAGGGTTGAATGGCACACTATACCAGATGGTTCTGATCAATAATGACGCTAACTTTGGACTTGGCGTCCTGAAAAACAAACCCATCCGATATATTGTTCACGCTTTGATTTATCACTCAGGCATTACGAAATGGAGTGAGAGATCAAACAAGACGAACATAGGCAATTCGAACTACACAGAAAACGAGGACCAACGACACACAAGACATAAGGAACTAGTGAGGGAAATAAAAAAACACTCACAAAAACTGCGAATGTTAAGATCAAACAGAAATGCAGGAATGATGATAAAAGAATTCAAAAGGACATTTTGTAGACTGCTTATATACAACTGTTGTTAATACTGTTGTGACCTCTTAGAGTCAATTATTTCATCCATTAAGTACACATCTGGTGCTAAGAGCTTCCAGAGAATAATGCCACTTATACACCAATAGTTTAATAGGTTTGTATATTATTTTTGTTGACGTAACCAATTTTAACTGGAACATTTCACAGCTTCTCTTAAAAACAATTTTTTCTTTGATTCGAAATTTCTCTTACCTATGAAACAAAGACGGTTTCCAGCAAAATTTGTCCAGGTGGTGTCCCTAACCCAGGACGAGGCGAATGCCCTATAGTACCGATGGCCTACGTGTAAGATACATGTCTCCCTTTCAGCATCGTGACTGTAGCTGTTGAAACCTTTGTCGACCACCAGTTGACGGCATTCTTCTATTGTTGTATTTGTTAATGCATTTTCAGGGGGATGTACAGCCCACCAAGAATGATATTGTAGTTCTTCAAAACCAAAATCCAAGCTACCGTTCTCACACCGTATGTCACGGAGACCTGCATTGTAAAAGTTAACAACACTGCCTTCACACATATTTCATAAGTAAATAATATTCAATATAGGAACAGTAAAACCATTGGGATGTAATTTGATTATAAATGTAATGCGATTTCTGTCCTTTTCTTGATTTACATATATGGAAATCACAGATTTGGAAACCTAAGTATATAGTTTTGTTCCAGCAATTATGTCCTGAACGTGTATACGTGTAATGCGTTTTTGTTTTGTAGATAACGAGCTCGAGAGAAATATTCCAGCCCTATATTCACTTAAAGATCTTAAACTAAAATTCCTCCTCATAAACAGATGAATCCTTATGATTTTTCGTTGTTTAACTTGAAACCTGTCTAAAACATTTGCCGAATACCTCGTTTAGGAGATCCTATTATTTCAAGCTTTAAACAAGCGTCGTTTTCTGTTCCAAGAATGTCTATGTGAATGAACCTGGCCATTAGTTCATGATTGAAGACGAAATCTTGAATTGCCGAACTCTCATAGTGGTCAAACGTCTCAAAGATCTAGTAATGAAAACAAAGTAAATAATTTCTTAACAGTAACTGGATTTACATAAGACGTTATATGATTCACAATGTAAGTCACTGTTTCGACATGAAATAGTAAAATAAGAACAAAAGAGCGATTATATTCAAGCGTCAATCTGTTGATAAATTCACACCAAATGACAACAATGGCGGAAAGCATAGCTAGTTTTAAGCAAACGAAAAAAGGATACCAACTTTTTGACAATAACGGGAAATTCTGACATCAGGACACGAATATATCAAACACATATTTGCTATGATTTTCCTTTTATCCAGCACACTGAATTTCCTAATAATCACTAAAAGGCTGTCTTTTGTGTACGACATTTTGAAATATTTGCTTTCGTCTTGATTTATTCACTTTCTTTAAAGTCAAGACTAAATAAATATATACTATGATATCTTAGTTAAATACAAGGATGTTAATGGGTTTGCCTCCTTATTTGGTATTTCATATGTATTATTAAAGGCGCTATATCTATGGTCGTGTTATGTACCCCTTCAATAGATATCTTAGTTAAATACAAGGATGTTAACTGGTTTGCCTCCTTATTTGGTATTTCATATGTATTATTAAAGGCGCTATATCTATAGATGTGTTATGTACCCCTTCAATAGATATCTTAATTACTGTTTAGGAATCATAATGTAATAATTTATTATTTGCCAAGATTTTCACGGGAGTGTCTGAAGAGTACCCACAACACTATACAAACCTATTGTGTATATGATAGTACCTTAAGAAATCCTGGGGGATCATGATATGGTGTAAGATCGTTTATATCGTTCCCGTATTTAACGACAAATCTTTTCAGAAGTTTTCTGGTGTTGCCCTCCTGCCATCCCTGTACACGAAGTCCTTGTAAAACCACGGGAATGATAAAGTCTACCTAGATTTGAAACAAGAGAAAACCAAAACTTATAACAGGGCGCCCAACCTTTTCCACCGATAAACGATTTTCCTTAACGCATTATTCACATCGCTAATCCAATTATTGACTTAACATCTTAACATGATTGAACTGAAAACAAATCTAATAATAGGTGAGAAGTTGTTAATGGTTTGCGGTTATATATCAACTCCAAATAATACTACAATGCATACTTGATTAAGCATGAAAAAGGAAACATCATTATATGTGATAATCAGTTACATTTTGTCGCATGTTCGCATTAAGTCAATAGTCCCTCCCTTTCAACTCTTATCACCAAACCCTACAACAGCATCCGCCCAGATATTACCCTGAACCAAGGAACAGTGTCGTCATAACGTGGACACCACCCTTTGCCTGGAAGTTCCAATCGTCCGTCGTCAGACATGACATCATCGGCACTGTTGGATGAGGAGTCGATCTGGTAGTCAAACACATCGCCAGACATCATACCCATGTGCTGCCCACGACCAGTCCCTGTTGAAATATGAAACTTTTTGCTAACATTATTGTAAGGCAGATAACTGCGTTTTAAGAATACGTTTCTAGTTTTGATATATAGAATATGATATATATATATATTATCAAACACATAGCCTGGTTGTATTATTATTAATTAATTTTTATCACAATTGTTTACGTTGACTCTGCGATAACCTTTTTAATATCTAAGAGGTTCAGTGCTGTTTCTCCTGATGCTTGTTCCCATTGTTCTATCTTAACACAGAAATTGTTTTTCAATATTAATGGAAAAGTTCGCGCTTTTTTTATATACGTATTGTATGTTCACTCACTTTTTCCAATGACTTGTAGTTCATTAATTTCTAAGAAATAAAATTTCCCTGCGTTATAGAAAGAATCTGTGGAGTCGAAATTCCTGACCGTGACGTATCGGCCTACAATTGGACGCCGGCATTGGATTCTGAACGCTACGTGCTTGTGTGTGTGTCTGATGTCGTCACATCTAGTGGCTGCGTAGTCCAGGAAATCCCACTGGTTCTTACTCACGAAGGACCCGACTTGCCGGAAGTTTACAGGAAACCATACTGCGGACAAAACATGTAAAAGTGACCGTGCCTCTAATGCATTAATTGATCTCTTAATTTGAATAGATAAAAATATCGACACACTTCCCTCTTTACTCTGCACCAGATGGTAACATAGCAATGCTATAAACTTACTATTTTTGCGGTACACCCGTATTGCGTGAACTTCGTACCATTCTTGGATGTCTACCTGTAAAAACGGTTTCAGCTGAGGCCTAGTTGTCACAAAGGAAACGTCACCTGCGAAAGCAAAACCTGTACCGTTAAAAAACTTTGGTGTATGCAATGCCTGTGCAATTAAAACAAACTAGTGTCATGTCAACAGATTTGTTATTTTCTTTTGATATGTGACATCCTATGTCATTCTGTAATGGCAAAAGAGCTCTACAGAGTTTATCGTTCTAATATATGGTGTCGTATGACAGTGTCGCCTTACCAATGATTCCATCAGTCGCGAGGTAAGGATCATTTGCAGCATTATACTTGTAGGAGTAAGCTGGTTTACCCTTCTCAACAGTTTCCAAATCTGGGTCTTCTACTATAAAATAATGTAATATATAAATATGATAGTTGATAATGATTTTATTTTTCCAAATTATAAATATTATGTCAAAATGATGATTTGTAATATAAACTAATGTCCTTTGATAAAAAATACAAATGTATGTCCCCCTTGGAAAATTTTGGAATTAAGGATATACACAAAAAGACGTACCTAAATATAAAACCAAGCATTATATTTGGTTATTTTCTGATACATTGTTGATTACGACCAATATGGAAGGGGCATGAAGAATTCTACATTTCAAGACGGAATATAAAAAAGTTATAACTTCTGTTCTTGGTGCCGCGTCTCTACCCGTTTTTTTTTTTTTTTTTTAGGACGGTACATTTATGTCATGGTTGTTGAAGAAGATACAACAGAAGACATGCTCTCATCCCAAACAGTTGACCTGTCCTGTAATAATTTTCTTTCATATTTCTTCCCAGTTGAGATAAAGTAAATATTACTTATGGCGATGTGATTATTATACAAATGAACATCAAAACAGACATTTATAATCATTTGACTATACATACAGCAAGAAGGTACATCGCACTTTTCTCTTGTATCCATATCTACAAAGCACATGGGTTGTTTCTCCTCAGGCCTATAGTCCACAGTGCCACAGTAATTCTCCTCCAGTTCGTTATACCAGAACCTAGTATTAGCGAACGGGTTGTTTGGTAAATCTGACCAGTAAATACAAGGTTTACCACTGGCCGAAGTATTGTGACGTCCGTTATAGGAGGCTCCGAGGTCATCTTGATAATAACACTCACGGCGAGCTGTCATACAAAAGTCGACCCGGGATATTATTCCATTCGTATCAAGTGAAATAACGATATTTAATGGTGCCGAACGGATAAAAAAGTAATATCAAATATAACAAAAATACAAAAACAACACAAGTTCAACCTGTTTGAATCATTTTCTTAATGTACTGAAGACAGTGATAGGTAACCTTTCTTATTTACCCAAAAGAATATTTTCAATGAAGCTTTGTTAAATGATTCCTAGAGATTAACATCAAATCGTTAGAATTCCACATTGTCGAGCAGTATTATCATACCAAGACATTAAACGTAATACGTGCATTTATTCCAATACCTGTAGGTTTGTAGTAACAGTATGGTATTCCGACATGTCTTTCTGTCCGGGTGACGTTGGTATGGTAACCAGAAAACTCCCAGTTTAAGTGTTCGTTTGTCATATAGAAGACCTCTTCCTTTACATCCATATTCTTTATGTTCTGACAATAACTTGCAGACGCACCCTATCAAATATTAATTTATATTCATTGTGAGCTTATTAAAGAAATAACCGGGCTACGATGGCAACTGATGTCTGTTTTTTATCTGAATGAATTTCAGGTGATGCTTTCAGGACCGAAGATCAATTTTGAAAAATATGTGGTGAAACTGTTCATGAACCGATTTCTTGCCGTCCATATCACCCAATAACGTAACCCAATTGAAGAAATACCAATGGAGTATTAACTAAATGCATGATAACATAACAGAGGTATCAGATAAACAATGTAAATAGGCCAGGCTTCTTGGCAATTTGACAATATTTAGATCTGTGGGTTTTACCTTTTTTTCTATGTTTATATTTATTAACATTAAAATACTTTATTTCATATTTCATTGATTTTCGGTTCAATCAGCGAAAGCCGAAGATTGAAAATCATATCACCTGTTGTTTTCAATAGGTATATCCTTTCTTTCACTGCAAAATGTTGGGTATTGTCTTTTTATATTCCCAGAATAGACAGAGTATTTTCAAATATTAAGTTCTTATATATTTATTGTATCTGCATTTTCATATCAGTTGTTCTTAAATAAGCTTATATACAATGACCCTAATGGCAGTAACGACTGTTGAACAGCTCCTTCAGTCGTTTCAAACGACAAGCAATAAAAGTCATTTTACTGACACCAATACATCCTTTGTAAGTCAATTCACATCTACCAGATTATTTCAATTCAGCAGCGATGAACACTAAAGACATTCAGTAATTATCAGTTTAAACGAAGTGTCATCAGTTTTTACACACGATATCCCAAACAAAAGGACACCTTATATCATGATATTTTGAAACTCGTTGATTTCTATGGCAGATTTTATCTCCTAATTGATGTCGTTTCCACGCGATATATGACATATTCAAATACCTTTTCCCAAGGGTACAATAAAGGAAAATAAGATCTCATTTGATCTGATGGATTAAGAAGATTGAACTAATCGCACGCATAACAATCAGCAGAATTTATTTCCATGAGGCTCTCTTAACAACAGATTAAAGCAACGTTTCATGAAAAGCTGCAATTGTCTCTGAGAGTAAACAGTTGAGTGCTACAGGCTTTATTCAGTGTTTGTATGATGACTTTACATTTCAGGATTGATGATATATACAACGAAACATACTCTGTTTTCTTTGTGTGTGGCTAATTAAAGATAATCACGATCGCATTTGAAGCATTATACGTAGCCAGTGTTAATCAGCTAACAAGACTTTTAATAGCCATCCTATCATTCATGTCATGCCCACTGGGTTTCACATGTTTACCCTTGATATTATGAAAACGACAACAAATAGATTAATATTTTTTCAATACTGTCAAAATAAAAGATAAAGAGATATTTCCCCAGGTATCACAAGATATTGATGTGGTATTTAGGTACTATCGATCTTTCACTTCTTGTTACTGTTTGATTTTAGATGCTATACCACACTGAAATCGGTTGAATTTTTATATTTTTCTCTTGGGGTCTTCGACCTATGAACAGCCAGAGTCAATTGGATTGTTTTTGCCGGTGCCCACCTCACTGAATACCATGCATGGCATTCACAGAAATAAGGTTCAAATGCCCCAGCCAAAGAAACATTTACAACAGCCCAGAACTGTCCATTTCTCACCTTCCGGAAATCAGTTGATTTTTCTGTTTGTTTGTATATTTGTTGGGTTTTATCGACTCGTGAGTAGCCATACTTACTTTGTTCTTCTTGTAATTGCTAGTAGCTACTTCACTTTCCAACATACGGGGTGCTTAACCCAGAGCAAGGTCAAATCAAGGATAATCGTAACGGATGCTTTATGTTCTGCCATATTAATTTCCCTAGTTGGAATTTTGATTTCGCCAATGACCGAGATGCCACAACATTCAGTCCCTTGAATAGCCCCCATATAGACCCGACATGTCTCCAATTGAGCATTTATGGGATGAGCTGGACAGGCGTATTAGGAAATGACCGAGATGCCACGCTTAACGCAAATCAAGATGGGTAGAGCAATTGCGATGCTGAAGTATGTCATAGCCAAACTGCTGTCGCATAGCAGACCGTCTCTATACACGTTTCCATGTACTGGGTTAGTTTCTGATCATCCCAGGAGCGGACGTCCGCGTGTAACGACCGCACGACAGGACAGGACGATTCGATTGTCACACTTGCGCATCAGATTCAAGACTGTTGTAAAGACTGCGCCGCACACCTTCGGTACTCATGGCAGAATCATTAGTGCTCAAACTGTCAGGAACCGCTTGCGTACCGAGAGAATCATGCGCGCCAACCTTTTGCCGGGCCAGCTCTGACACCAGAGAGGCGGCAAGTGCATCTTGACTGGATGCGCAGACATGTCCCGAATAGGTTTGGGATGCGTCGGTGGAGGTGTGCAATGTTCACCGACGAGTCTACATTCTGTCTGTATCGCTCAGGCGGAAGAAAAAGGGTATATCGCAGACGCAGTTAGCGTTTCGCCGACGCATGTGTAGTTGAACGCGATAGATTCATTTGGGCTTCTGCAATGGTTTGGGGAGGCACCTTCCATTGCGTAAAATCCCCTTAAGTGGTCCTGGATCCAAACCTCAATGCAATTCGAAACAGATTAGATCCTCCAACCACACGTCTTTCCACTTCTCAGACGTTATAACCTAATTTTCCATCAAGACAATGCTCGTACGAGTCTGCCGATTTTCTCACGGCAAACAACATTCAGCCCTTGTAATAGTCCCCGTATAGACACCCCCCCCCCCCAACTAAACGCGCAAGCATGAATTCAACGCATAGGAGAATCCGACAGGGATTCGTGCAAAAGATGCCCACACCTGGTACTGAAGTGTCATTTTGTTTTCCGCGGGTATCCCACTTAGAGTAACTACTGGCGACACGAATGACGACACACAGACTTTTCTTCTATAGTATTGTAAAGAGTAGAGTTATCCCTTGATATAAAATTATGTACAAATTTCCAAAATATTATAGGCTATTGATTGCTTTATTTAATTGTGCTTTTGTTTTTTGTTAAGTATAGTTGGGTGACTGGATGGCGCAATGTAAACACACTCACACTCGTCTTTTATTTAGACAGCCGGTGCTGTCAACTTTCCTTCCATTTTAACATAACATTGTACTACTGTAAATCGAACAGTATTATTCGCGAATCCAAATCCCAATATACTTTTACGGACGTTGTCCACAAATAAATGACTTAGTAGTATGGTACCCGCGAAATCATGTGTCCGCGAATAAGACAGTCACTGATCTTTTGCGAAATTAGATACTCCTTTAGATAAAGTGATTGACAATACATTCCCTAACATCCAAACATCCGATGTCTAGATTACAGATGGTACACACTGCTAGTGGACTATTCGTCCCCGAGGTTTGCCGTAACCTGTATGACACGTTTTAGTTCGGTTTAGAATACACACATGTACATTACGCTGTTCTCAAATTATCAGATATATGAATATTTACTGAATTATGGGGCTTGTGCATTTCGCCATCCAGATTTTGACTTTAATTTTGATCAATTTTGGATTTTCCTCTTCGCATCATGGACGAGTTATAAAATGACGACACACCTGTAAGATGTAGTTTAATTCAATATTTGATTCCTTTTGTATCTTAATTAAATTTCAAACGTATTGTGCTATTCGCTTCTGTGTTTTTCTGTACAACCATAGCACTTTACAGAGCACTTTAACTTAGTGGCTACTTTGCACTGGATCTGCTATCCATCGGCTTTTGATATTTCATTGCCAAATTGCAGGTATGTGATCAGAAACATGTCGTCTGATACATGTGATTCGCAAGAAAAAATATTATCTTGAATAATGTTTTTTTTTCGGAAAGAAAACACACCTTCAACGGCACAGAGAGAAATGTATTGGTAGGCAAGATATCATTTGGAACATACCTTCAACGAACAAAGGGAAACTCATTGGATTTCGAATTGAAATTCGCCAGTTGGAAGATATTATATTAAACATACCTTCAACAGGTCAAAGGCAAATTCCTGGGGTAAAGATATTTTATATAGAAATTCACCAGCAGGGAAATATAATATAAACATACCTTCAACAATACGAATGGAAATTCACTTGGTAGAGAAATATAATCGTCAGACGGTCCATCATTCCTGCAGCAGTAGTGCAGTTCCAGAAACGTCCCATTGTCTTCCCCATAACTTAGTGATGGTAGTATGCCGCCCATATCTCCCGTCTTGAAAGTGTATCCATTTATTGTTATAGAGCCGTTCATAAAATCTACAAAACAAGATCACACAACTTATCAACATATATCCACGTGCACATGTATATATTTAGATTAGATCATTATTATCTTTATGGCACCATATTGGAAACAGAATCGAAATAATTCACAATTACACATGAATTTCGGAGATTTGCAATACACTGGCTCACCATATCAAAGATTATTCAAAATACAAAATGAATTAACCTGTATCATAGTTATTTTGTCCATCCATCCAGGACTCGTCAGTGATGCTAAGGGCCTGAATTTTGGATCCAATGAGGAGACTAAGGAAATTTCGAAGTGATCTTAGAGTCGAATCTTATTTTAGAAAATGCGATTCTGAAACGTCTCTCATTTTTTCCGATATTATGTCAATGTTTTTGGGTTTGATCCATTTTTTTTTCTTTTTTTGACAGGTTGACAGAACAATGAAGTTATATATATACAAATATATATATGTAGGTTATGACTATAGGAAATGGTCCTCTTGTGATATAATACCATGATGTTTTACTATCACCGTTAATATAACCTGCAGCGGTCTCGCTGTCACTTTTCCTACTCTCGCTTTGAGGATGTGACATTACTCGACTTTGGCCTTGATCCAGATGATGGAAGTCATCCGTTGAACAATATTAAGATCAGAAGTTGACACCCTGAAACAGAATGTTTAGAAGGTGTTTGGTTATGGAACACCAAATGTACATACCTATAGGACATCTGTCGCCGGTCTGGTAAATACAATACTCTCCAGCGGGCCAACTACGGTTAACTGGATCGATCATAGAAGTATTTCGCTTCATGCAAAAATTGATCATTGTGACGTGTGTGTGGAATGGGCCCATTATATGTGGCTCTATGGTCATCTGGTCATCGTCATTCCATATTTGGCTTCTTGAAGATTGTGGAAGTGTAAGATTGACGTAACCTTGTGCCCAACCAAATCTGTCATCCTCCGGGCAGCCAAAACCAGACATTGGTATGGCATATTGACCATCTGGCCAAGCTGATCTACCAATTTCTGAATTAATTTTGGAAAGATAAAAACAATTAATATTTAATATATCCTTGGCTATGACATACCAATACGAATAATTTAATTTTGTCAATCGCTATATAAAACCAATTTGATTTTGTACGTCTCGGACTATTTCTCAGTAGTTATTTACAGACAATCTCTTGGTTTCAACAGATATTTGCGCTATATGAATTGGCATGTTGTCTTTATGATAAACTTTTCGATGTTTATGCTAAAAATCATACAATCCATTGTACGTATATTCAGAAATCGAAACATACCCAGAAGTACAAAAACAAGTGTATTTATAAAACAAAGAGTTCATATCGATTAATTAGTGTCTCAACAACAATCCAATATGAATCAACATAGTCCAAATACAAAACCACAATAACGTACTTATTAACAGGTGGTTCCAACTCGTTACACGTTTAGGTTTACAATCCGATATCAATTATCATGATTTAAATACAAACACTGTATCTAAAATTATCTGTTCAGAACTTTATTTCCTTTTAAATCATTTCATTCTCATGACCAGCTAAATTAGTTCTACACGTTGAACCCGTTCAATATTTAGTTTTTACGAACCTGTTTCACATTCCAGTCCAGTGAAATTGGCGTTACATAGACAGAGGCATGTGGTGTTTTCCGTGGTGCCACCGTTACGACAACGAACTGACAAGCAGACTGTAAAGTCAACAAAAACGATACTCAACCTGGTGTTGTTCATCAACGTGTTTAAAAACTGGTCTTATATATTCAACAGAAACAAAGTGTTCTTACTTTAGATGATTTTTTTATTTATACCAACTATTTATGTCTCAACCAATTCCATGCATAAATAAGGGTAGTTTCATTTTCATGTATTGAATCATCACGTGCGATTAAGGGGTATTACAACAAAATTAAACGGTTAAAATTTATTAATGGTTTAATAGATTTTGGACTAATAGCATTTTTTTGAGAAATTAGATCATATTTCTAACTTTGTGATATAAATGAACTAAACAACCCCTTCCAATCAATATATATTAATATATATTTGTTTACTTATTAAAAGAACGCTGAATTAAAGTTACTATTATTGGAAAACATCTTAAACTAAACAACTCGTTCCATATTACTGTTATATGTAAACTTATCAATATACCATCTTAATAATGCATCAGTTTACAGATAGAATATTAAATTAAATCTATATTTCACATACACAAAGCTTTCGATCCAAACAAAAGGATGCTTATCATGGGAGTAGACACGATAAACATGTTATTCGACTCGCAACAATAAAGTAAATATATTAATGAATGGGAGATAGCAATTGTAACAGATGAACTACTACTCTAGTGTTCAATTAAGCACCAAACCTAACAACGTCAATATTCTCAATAGGTTTGACTTCGTTCAAATCTATTATTCACCAATCGATTACATTATCAATTTATGATGTCTGGAGTTGTATGTATGAATAGGAGATGACTTCCCTTGTTGATGTATCACATTATCATTGAATTTATGAAAAATGTTCAATAAGTGAAATTTTCGAATTCCAAATCACCTAATATTAATGTGAATAAGGATCATCGCTGATTGATTTTAAAATGGTGGTTCTTAACGAACCATGTTTCCTATTTATTAGTCAACGACAGTTTCCGTAGTCATGACTGTCAAAATAAAAGTGACAAAAAACAAAACAACAAAAAAAAAATAATAATGACAACGAAAATACAAATATTAATATAACGTGTGCTACTTTTGCCAGGTTTCAGTTAAACGCGCAACAACTATTTGCGATGGGCAATTACGGTTAACACTTTAAAAGGTTTTCAATAACATTTTCGACTAATAGGACATTTACTGTCAAATTTCACAGAATTGGCCGCCCCTGCTCCAGAACACCCATAATTTCTTCATTATAATCGTATGAATCATTTGCCTTTTATTGTTTTTGTTCAAGGAAACTAGATACCATGTTATCAATTGAATCTCCATTACAACACAAGTAAAGAACAGAACGCGTTTATCTTGACACAGAAATACATTCGGAATTAACGTTGTATTCACCTCTCATTTACATGTTGCTTTATCACTATTAATCTAACTTTTAAGGCAATATCGTCCCAATGTAATGACTTGTAGAATCCCATAATACATTCATACCACATAGCTGTAATTTTTATTTTTTTCGTTAAAGGTGGTGGTATTTTTGTTTGTATTAACACATAATAGACTTTTCTCAGTTTAGGCGTCTACATTTCTCTAGAGCTCCCCTTACTAAAAGTTAAAAAAAAACAAAAAAACAAACAAAACAGCTGGAAATTTCAAATTAACACCCATCTTTCAAGAAACACTTGGGTTGCCTATAACTTTTAGTTCAGCAAAACTTCCACAGATCGTGATATTCCACCAGGGACAGAATACGTAAACAACCTCCGACAATGACAGCGTTTTGTTATAATAACATTAAATTACATTTAATCATTAAACCGTTGTTAGACATATGTATTGTATGTTGATGTGAGGTTTGAGTAGCGGCTGATAATAACAGCTAGACAATTATATATAATGCTCTAATGACACCATGTATTGGACAAAGTATTTTTAAATGGATTAAAACTGGCATTGCAATATTTTTGTAAAAATTCAACTGTTTATTTGGATTTTGTCATCGCCAGATGTATCATTTCATAAAATGCGTACAGTAAATATATACCATATATAGTCTATTATTAGATGTTTTATAATATTAAGTCGAACGTATTTTGGAATCGTACACAAATACTTATTGATGCATCTGAACAATATACATTTGATTGGGGAAATTAGTACAAAATATATGTACGTTAACGACAAAAATGATTGAAAAGTGTTGCTTTCAGCTTTAACAATGTCTCTTTCATTGAGCCTTGAAGATCAATCATTCAGTGATTGGAAGACTGTGTCAGTCATTTGCACTATCAGGAATCAGAAGTTATCAAATTCTGTTTGTGTTAAAGATAAAAGATAAACATCTTTTCAAATATTTCTGGTTCGAGTTATGACATTTCGCACGGCAATTGAACGTCACAATAAAGTTAAATTATGCCATGACCATACGGTAATAGAAACAATCAACATGTAGTATTGAAAGATTGCAGGAGAGAGAGAGAGAGTGTGTGTGAGAGAGAGAGAGAGAGAGAGAGAGAGAGAGAGAGAGAGAGAGACGTATATACACATGAAGTACCTTTCTATAGAAATGTTATTATCTGAACAGTATACCCAAATAATGTATAAAAATGTATCTCGGGTTATTCCGTCCTCCTACATCTTAAATATTGCATTAGATATTACCTGGTTCCTTTCCAGAGGCAATGATATAAGCGACGACACGTCCGGTAAAAAGAAACGACACAAAAAACTGCGCGACGAGAGCCGACGACATCCTCAGTCGGGTCGTAACCATAAGTGTCCCAAACAGCTGCGACAATGATAAAATGGGCTGATTATGTATTATATAAACTTTACACAGATATGGAGGTCCAATCAGACCGTACTGTGTATCAGAGTTCAGAGTAGCCTGATCATTAATAACCACACGGTATACAATCAATACTCAACACTTGTGATGTAGTTATAACTAGCAAATCGAATATTCTAATTACTTCAATGAACAACGAGTTTAGGTTGTAAGGTACAGGTGTAAGGGAAACACAGATTGTTGTATATCAGTGAGTCTCCATAATACTGTATGTGTTGATGGTTTTAATCAACTGTTCATCGGTTAGGTCTCCACGACTTTCAATATCTACTTGTTATAAGAGATATGATAGACAAGTTCTATTCCCAACAATAAAATTTCCGTAAGAGAGTGCCGTGTGTTGCGACGGATCCTTTCTCGATCAGGTAAGGATGATCTTTGTTACATCCTTGTAAACTATTAAGGGAATGGACAACATATGATCTCCCTCACCCCTGGTACGCTTATTTTCACCGTTTTCCTTTTGAGAATTTCCTTGATTCGTTCGCGGTTCTGTAGAGTTGTCATGATCGAGAGGTTCTCTTCGGTATTTTATTGGATGAAATAAAATAGAAAATAATAGACACATATAACACAAAATTACAACACATAGATGTGCGATATGAAGTACGATGATAACTATGAAAAAGACGCATACCCTTCCGGAACACCAGAGCCTTGTAATCAAATGACACTTGTTTCAATGATTTCGATTACGATTTCAGTAACTTGTCGGTATATCATCCTTACTAACACAAGCTGTCTACAGCACTAATGAAGGTTTTTATTCTCTGTCTAATTTCAGTCTAATTAACAACTTCCGCGGATGTTTTACCTTCTATCCTGTTTGTCTCAGGACTTGCTTAGTGTTTTCCACAGTTTCCACAAACACGTAGTCATGTTTATCCATTTATATTCGATGGATATATTTTAGGGCTATGCTTTGTAATGAATTGTTATAAAAATTATCATTTTCATATTCTCACTATAAAAGTTTCTTCTTGAAGAATAAATGTGATAGTAAAGTCGACGTGTAACCACTACTCTGAATTATTCTGATGTGCTATCGACCTTTTTGTACCGATGACCGTGTAAACAACGAGGGAACTTGGTATAAGAAATGAGTCGTGCTGTGATCGGTATACTTGTTTCGTTTATTTTCACCTGCAACGAGTAAAACCACAATTTAAAATGTAGACAATGAAAAACAATAGCATTGACAATTTATCAATATTTAACCTCTGAATTTCTCTTCAAATATTTAAAACGTATGATTCACTTCATGTTTTTGTAATGTTTATTACTACACATTTTGTTTGTGTCAGAGCACTTAAATACACAATACATGATTGAAGTCAGAAAATTACCCCTGAGGGTGTTCTAACATTAATACATTTAGGTCGGGAAATTCTAGATCAACCACACAGATTATACACTTGTATATGGGTCATTAAGTTGTAGTTCCCATAGTTCACATCACCATGGGAATGTTAGAGATGAATTCTATGTCAATTATTTAATATAGTTCATATCGCATACTAATAACTGTACACGTGGTGAGGGTTTGTGTGGCTTTCATAACTCCACTTAAGGTATTCCCACCCTAATGGAGCACTTCCGGTTATAATCCCGACGAATGCCGATGTTTTATAGATCGTGAATTTTCGGAAGTCAAACAGTTGACGTTCATGCCCTTAATTTTAGCGCGGAAAAGGCAAAAATATGCCTTCCTTACATCCTTTAATATCACAAGGCATTTTAAAACATGCTACTGCTGAAATTATTGCAGGCTCTGGCTTAAACTTCCAACATCTTTTAAAATATATTCCAAAGGGATGGTGAAGAGGGTCTGAGAGCAATATTTGTGTAAAAGAACTGTAATGGACAGTCGCGGATCTCTTCTGCAAAGCGTGTTCTGGATTCTGTATTCCAAAGCTTGTTGAACTGTTTGAAAAATGGGATAAAATGAACTTTTTATATAGCTATAACGGTAAACTTTTTTGTGCAATAAGGACTTGATTTCTTATCCGTTTTTGTTACATAATGAATTATTTTGTCATAATCCGGGTCAAGGTCAGAGGTCAAGGTAAGAAAATATCAGAAATAGTTAATTTTTATTACTATTCTACTTGTAGCCTTTAAAGAGTTTAGTATTTATAGTCTGTTTGGCTATCATGCTATTGTATGCAATTTTCCTGAGATCTAATGAGTCATCGAAATTAAGGGAGTAGGGGTATTAAAACTTAGAAATGTCTAATTACATTGGTAAAAGTTTCTAAAAAATATCTGAAAATTTGCAGAAGGTGTGCCAGCAAGTATTTAAACAGATTTTTCTTTTGAAACTCTCTTGTCACACTCAGTTTACCTTACAAAGTGTCTTTGTCACTTTTCTAAGAGTGACAACGAGGGTACCAGGATAACACTTTTTCGCATATCGTACATTGTATATGAATGTGATATGAATATCAGCTATTTTATTATTCATTGCTGTTATTATGGTATGTAAAAACACATTTTTTTGTTTGAAATTAAGTTTTTTATTGGGCATACACTAACATTTTTATTGTATCCAACCAGCATGCTATGTGACACCATTGAAGTACTTAAATTTTTGTTAGATGAAAAAAACTTGTGGATAAATATGGTCAGTAATGAAGTATACATTATGATCTTTATGAATTAGGTGAAAATTTAGATTTTTGGTTTTGTCCCTATTAAAAGGCTTTACGGGCTGAATACCTTAAGTGTATCTCATACAAATAGCTGTACACGTGGTGAGGGTTTGTGTGGCTTTCATAACTCCGCTTAAGTGTATCTCATACAAATATCTGTACACGTGGTGAGGGTTTGGTGTAGCGTTCGTTACTCTTGTAAACTGTGTCTCATACAAAGATTTGTACACGTGACAAGTGTTGGTATATGGTTCGTTACTCCCTAAAAGTGTATTGCATACAAAGATCTGTACACGTGGTGAGGTTTGTGTGGCTTTCATAACTCCACTTAAGTGTAGCTCATACAAATATCTGTACACGTGGTGAGGGTTTGTGTGGCTTTCATAACTCCGCTTAAGTGTAGCTCATACAAATATCTGTACACGTGGTGATACGAGGGTTTGTGTGGCTTTCATAACTCCGCTTAAGTGAAGCTCATACAAATATCTGTACACGTGGTGATACGAGGGTTTGTGTGGCTTTCATAACTCCGCTTAAGTGAAGCTCATACAAATATCTGTACACGTGGTGAGGGTTTGTGTGGCTTTCATAACTCCGCTTAAGTGTATCTCATACAAATATCTGTACACGTGGTGAGGGTTTGTGTGGCTTTCATAACTCCGCTTAAGTGTATGTCTTAGAAATAACTATACACGTGGTGAGGGTTTGTGTGGCTTTCATAACTCCGCTTAAGTGTAGCTCAAACAAATATCTGTACACGTGGTGAGGGTTTGTGTGGCTTTCATAACTCCGCTTAAGTGTATCTCATATACAAATATCTGTACACGTGGTGAGGGTTTGTGTGGCTTTCATAACTCCGCTTAAGTGTATGTCCTAGAAATAACTGTACACGTGGTGAGGGTTTGTGTGGCTTTCATAACTCCGCTTAAGTGTATCTCATATACAAATATCTGTACACGTGGTGAGGGTTTGTGTGGCTTTCATAACTCCGCTTAAGTGTATGTCCTAGAAATAACTGTACACGAAGTGAGGGTTTGTGTGGCTTTCAATACTCTACTTAAGTGTATGTCCTAGAAATAACTGTACACGTAGTGAGGGTTTGTGTGGCTTTCAATACTCTACTTAAGTGTATGTCCTAGAAATAACTGTACACGTGGTGAGGGTTTGTGTGGCTTTCAATATTCTACTTAAGTGTATGTCCTAGAAATAACTGTACACGTGGTGAGGGTTTGTGTGGCTTTCAATAATCTACTTAAGTGTATGTCCTAGAAATAACTGTACACGTGGTGAGGGTTTGTGTGGCTTTCAATACTCTACTTAAGTGTATGTCCTAGAAATAACTGTACACGTAGTGAGGGTTTGTGTGGCTTTCAATACTCTACTTAAGTGTATATCCTAGAAATCACTGTACACGTAGTGAGGGTTTGTGTGGCTTTCAATACTCTACTTAAGTGTATGTCCTAGAAATCACTGTACACGTAGTGAGGGTTTGTGTGGCTTTCAATACTCTACTTAAGTGTATGTCCTAGAAATCACTGTACACGTGGTGAGGATTTGTGTGGCTTTCAATACTCTACTTAAGTGTATGTCCTAGAAATCACTGTACACGTAGTGAGGGTTTGTGTGGCTTTCAATACTCTACTTAAGTGTATGTCCTAGAAATCACTGTACACGTGGTGAGGATTTGTGTGGCTTTCAATACTCTACTTAAGTGTATATCCTAGAAATCACTGTACACGTGGTGAGGATTTGTGTGGCTTTCAATACTCTACTTAAGTGTATATCCTAGAAATCACTATACACGTAGTGAGGGTTTGTGTGGCTTTCAATACTCTACTTAAGTGTATGTCCTAGAAATAACTGTACACGTAGTGAGGGTTTGTGTGGCTTTCAATACTCTACTTAAGTGTATGTCCTAGAAATAACTATACACGTGGTGAGTTTGTGTGGCGTTAACTCTAAGCTGCACTACTAAACAGTAGAATATTTTGTATTTACCTGAGCTTACCGTCTAAGCTGCACATTTACCTGAGCTTACCGTTAACTCTAAGCTGCACTACTAAACAGTAGAATATTTTGTATTTACCTGAGCTTACCGTTAAGCTGCACTACTAAACAGTAGAATATTTTGTATTTACCTGAGCTTACCGTTAAGCTGCACTACTAAACAGTAGAATATTTTGTATTTACCTGAGCTTACCGTTAACTCTAAGCTGCACTACTAAACAGTAGAATATTTTGTATTTACCTGACCGTACTGTTAACTCTAAGGTGCACTACTAAACAGTAGAATATTTTCTATTTACCTGAGCTTACCGTAAAGCTGCACTACTAAACAGTAGAATATTTTGTATTTACCTGAGCTTACCGTTAACTCTAAGCTGCACTACTAAACAGTAGAATATTTTGTATTTACCTGAGCTTACCGTTAAGCTGCACTACTAAACAGTAGAATATTTTGTAGAATATTTTGTATTTTTACCTGAGCTTACCGTTAACTCTAAGCTGCACTACTAAACAGTAGAATATTTTGTATTTACCTGAGCTCACCGTAAAGCTGCACTACTAAACAGTAGAATATTTTGTATTTACCTGAGCTTACCGTTAAGCTGCACTACTAAACAGTAGAATATTTTGTATTTACCTGAGCTTACCGTTAAGCTGCACTACTAAACAGTAGAATATTTTGTATTTACCTGAGCTTACCGTTAAGCTGCACTACTAAACAGTAGAATATTTTGTATTTACCTGAGCTTACCGTTAAAAGCTGCACTACTAAACAGTAGAATATTTTGTATTTACCTGAGCTTACCGTTAACTCTAAGCTGCACTACTAAACAGTAGAATATTTTGTAT